CACAATCAAAGATTTCAAGCACAAGCTGCAAGTCAGGCTGCTCAAATACAGGAAGAGACTTTGGAACAACGTAAAGTTAGACTTTGAGCTCAAGCTGAAAGGCAGACTACTCAAAGACAGCAAGAAACTGTTGAACAATGTCAAACCAGACTTCAAGCACAAAAATTAAGACAAATAACTTACAGAGAGCAAGAAACAGAGGATCAACATGATGTACGACTTCAGGCTCAAAGAACAAGACAAGCTCAAACACGATCTAATTTCAAATAAAACTTTGTTTGATTAAATGCTTTTTTTATTTCTCGCATCACAGTTTTTGTCTACTCACTGAATAATTTGCTGAAAAAATACTGATCTATACATTTCAAATCTAAATTTTCACTGTGCAACGCCGGGTTACTCAGCTAGTAAATAATATTTCAATAGTCACTTTTACCTTTGATATATAAAACAAACTTCGCACCTTGAATGTTGGTCATTTTACTAATGCACTGTAAAAATGAGCCTCCTGGGTATCACCTTGGGGCAGTACTAAACTACAAACTGTTGCCTACTTATTGGGATGCTTTATCAGCAATAACTTCCTTCTTTTTAAAAAAATATTAAAATTCATTTGCTGTATTTAAGGTATCTTTACTGCATAAAATAATTAGTAGTAAAATAATAGTTTAGGTAGTAAAATGCTACCAGATATACATTAAGTTCATACCTTGCATTACATCTCATTGACATACTCAAAACTTTTAACCACAGAGAATTTGTAAATTGTGCATTTGCTTTAGTATTGTTTTGAGTACTGTATATATTGTGTGTTTAATGAATTGATAATACAAAGAGTTACTGGACTACAGTATTTTTTTTGTTGTTTTATAATAATACCTTTAAATATATTTTTTTAGAAAGTAAAAAGTATTTCCTAGAATAAAGACGTTACATAATATTTTTAATTCTTATCACTGCATAGCAATTGTTAATTGAAAGTTACACAGAGAGTGTAAAAGTTGTGTAAAGAGAGAGTACTGTGTGCAAATTTATAAAAACAGTAATAACACATCAGTATAATAATTAAAGAATTAATCTGACATTGAAAATAAAGTTTTGTCAGGTCAAGCTCATCATTATCTAGGGATGGAGAAAAAGTCTCGGCTTCTTATACGTTCAGGTTCAGAATAGCTGCAAAAAGATCAAGGTTAACTAAGTAGAGTGCAAAAACTAGCTAAAATAAAAAAAGACTTCCAAATAGGGTTGTGTTTAAATTCCATTTTATAATTGAGCATATTTTATATAAGTTTACATATTACCATTGATTCTCTTGTGTTGCAGTGATAGAAGAATTGGGGGTCTGTTATGAGTTTTGATTAATTGAAAATAATATTGTGGTTGGCTGTGTGAACTCGTAATATTAAAATTGATTTTTCAACTTTCTTCCATGACAGTAGCTTTCATGTTTTTTTAATTCAAAGAGATTGTTGTTTTTTTATCAGTGTAAGCATAATTACAATAACAAGACATGCTTGGCTTATCAGAGTAATTGTTCTTTCCTATTAATTCTTTTAATCATTTCTACATTGTTATTCTGATGTGTTATTACTGTTTTTTTGTAAAAGTTGTTACAAGTAACTTGTATATTTTGAAATAGGGATGTGTATAAGTAGTTACTTGAAAAACTGTATCATGCTTAGTTCATGAATTTCATTATTAATTCTTTTGATTCAATATTTATTTTTTATATCTAGCACCCCCAATTAATAACTGGCCATGTAATCCTTCAAAGACTATCATAGCACATATCCCTGCAAACAATGAGATATGCTCTTTTGGAAGTGGATATGGTGGAAATTCTCTTCTGGGCAAGAAGTGTTTAGCTCTACGTTTAGGCTCAATACTAGCAAAAAGAGAAGGTTGGCTGGCAGAACACATGCTGGTAAGTTTAAGGATGTAATTTTATAAAACACAATTGTGTCATGATTTTCCCAGGTAAAACAGGCATGTTTTTTATTGTAGCATGCAACACTCTAATTCTTCCATACACACACATAATGCTCTTGGCAAAAGTTAGCATGTTAAAACATTTAGTACAAAAAAGGGAAGAAACATTTCAAAAAGTTATTAATTTCAATATTTTAGATCATGTATATTTGTAAAAAGTAAGCTTATTTGTTCTTGTTGTCTTGATAGTAAAAAAGGTAATATTTCATTGTAGATTTTAGGAATCACCAATCCTCAAGGTGAGAAGAAGTATGTTGCAGCAGCTTTTCCAAGTGCATGTGGGAAGACCAATCTAGCTATGATGACACCAACATTGCCAGGCTATAAAGTAGAATGTGTTGGTGATGACATTGCTTGGATGAAATTTGATGAGCAAGGCCAGTTGCGTGCTATTAATCCTGAATATGGTTTCTTTGGTGTTGCACCAGGTAAAATGTAACATTAGTGTTATGGAATTTTTCATACTGTAGTTTTGTGATAGAGGATACTTTGAAACATAGTTGGATGATTTGAAACAGTATTTCTCAAATATCTGAGAATAAAATAAATGTTAAGAGAAGTGAATTTTTAAGACCTATACATTCAGAAAGGCTTTGGTAACAAGTAACATAAACAGAAGCAAATAAAATTGTATTTTGGTTATATAAAATTTATTAACATGTAGAATTTAATAGTACAAAATGTATAATAAGTTAAAGAATATTCTGCAGTTTCATTTATTCTTATATGCATACAGAATAGTGATGTTTATTTAAACTTGCTTTCTCTAGGGACATCTATGAAGACCAATCCAAATGCAATACTTACTGTTCAGAAAAATACAATATTCACTAATGTAGCTGAGAGAAGTGATGGAGGTTTCTTTTGGGAGGGCATGGAAGATGAACTTTCCAAAGAGGTCAAAATAAAGTCATGGACAAATATTGACAATTGGAAACCTGACAGTGGGAAGCCTGCTGCTCACCCAAACTCCAGGTGGAGTATTTCATCATTTTGTTTAGAACTGGAAAGTTATACAAAAACACAAGTATGTTGTATCATTGAAATGATACTACCTCCTCTCCCCATCTTGACCTTCATTTGCCCTCTAAGCATTGGTAAACTTTTTAAAAGCACACCAGTCTTTTATACTCCTATATTTTTTACATCATTGCAGCAACATGTGCTGATCATGTGACCACCCTCCACCAATCCCATTGCACCCTCTATAATTGCACAGGTAGCCCCCTCTACCCTTGTGGCACAATCATCACTTTCTCAATTGGCATTCTCATGTACAGGCGTGTGTTTTATGTTCTTCATGTCTTTACACAAATTTTTATTGTGCTTGATCACCAATTAATATCTGTTTCTAGTTCAAGTTTCTACTCGTTTGTTTTTGAGATGTTTCTGTTTCCCAAATTCTGCTTTGTTCACAAGAATTCAGATTTCTTATGGCAGTTGATAATTTTCCTGCCATAAGTTGACAGTGATTATAACACTAGACCTCAGTCTCAGGTTTCACAATATCTGCTGAGGAAGCGCAGACTTTTTTTTGTTCAATGAGTTTATGTGAGCTTGTGTGTATGGATTTAATTTCCACACTCGATAATTTACATCATTCATCTCTTCTCTGGTCATTGTTGTGTAAGTTTGAATTTTATACTTCTTTTACCATATAGGTTACTTTAGTTTACAACTTGCATTTAGAGTTTGTTTCTTGTGTTAATTTGATTTAATATTTTAAAATTTTTCACTGTTAATGTTATTTAGTTATAAGTTCCTTTTTTGTATCTTTACTACTTGTCACATCTAATTGGGGATAAATTTTGAGTCAACCTTTGTTTTTGTTAACTGGGTGCCTTTTTATTCTCATGTTCTTTAGGGTAAGTTTTTTTGTGTCCTTTGTCTTGTAGTTTCTTTAAGTTTTGTATTCTATGTTTAAGGGTTGTTTATCTTATCAGTCCCTTTAGTGGTTTTGTACTTTAGGTGTTGCTTATTGTTTTATGTTTTAGGTCGATTTTTTTAGTTTTGCAGGTGTGATACTTTTAAGCACTTTGTAGATTACACAAGTTTTTGTTAGTTCATTAATTCTGTGTACTTTCTTCAATTTCTCTAGTTTGTTTGTCTATTTGGCTACATTTCACGATAGTTCCGTTCTTTTTACGGGTTCTCTATGAGGGTTTCTAACTTCCATTTTGCTCCCTCTGTATTCACTTCCTAGATATCCTCCCCTCCTCCTTGAGATCATACCTTGTCCAGTCTTCTTGCTTAGTCTGTCTGTGACCTATTACACAATGGAGCTATCTAATATGTGGAGCCCACTCAACCAGGAATTTATTCCCATCCTTCTTTGTCTCCCTATACATGGGACTTTAAAGTCCTTTTCTCGATCTATCCTGGCTGTATACTTATCTGCAGTTGCCTCGCTTCACCGTGGTGTCCTACCTCCCACTTCGAGGGTTTTTTATGCCCCAGTGTCACGTTCTTTTCTTTGGTTCCTCTACGTAAGTTTTGCCTTCCTGTTCTGGGTACTCACAGACTGTCTTTCAGCTTTGAATGTGTTTTGTTGAGTGGTATGCTTTTGCATATCATCTTCACTCATTCAGACTCACATTTCGTAGACAACAGGCTTCTGCTTGCCTCTTTCTGTGTCCGGTCAGTCATTCACATCCACTTCTTTCTTTGAGAAGCTTCTCAGGTGGGTTTCTTTTCTGGTTGGAGAAGTCCTATACTACCCTATCACAGTATCTTATTTTTGGGGGGTTCTCTTCACTTCCTTTTTTTGGTAGAGCCCAGCTTTCTGCACTTTGGCTACAGGATATCAGGCATTCAGTCACATTTGCCATCCTTTCTCTTTATGTCTGTGAGGTTCTCTCTCTTTTGGGATGTGGTGTTCCTTGGAAGTGCTCATTCCCTTGGATCAGACACCCATGCTTTCCTTTCATTGGATACTTCTAAAACCAGTGGAACTTCCCTCATGATCCCTTGAACCATCCCATTTACCTTGATTTCCCCGAGTTTTTGGGTCGGTGGTCAGTTGAGGAGGCTACTCTTCATATCCACATCCTGGTACCTTGGCATTTCATTGGGCACAGTATAATTTCCAACATTTCTTGCAGGGGAGTATGGTTTTGGTTCTTTCTGTGATTCCATTATTGTCCGCTTCATCACCTAGAAAGGGGGAACTACACACCGATCTCTGTCTGGTCAGACTCTGGATTTCATGTATTGGGCCAATGACCTCGATGTGAGTATTCTGGTGGGTCATGTTTCGTGAGTTTTGATTCTTGTGACTGATCTCTTATCTCGTCCCCATCAGGTTCTCTACAGAGCAGTTTCTTCATCCTCGCTGGTATGCCACACTTTCTTCTTTTTAGTGTTCAATTCCTCAACCTTCAGCTTTGGAGATAGATGCTTTCAGTCAAGATTGGAGGGGTCTTCACCTATATGCCTACACTTTGATTTTACTCATCTTCTGACTCTTTCTCTCTTATCCAGACCAAACCTTGTAGTGCTCTGCTGGTTCTTCTGTATTGGCTACTCAGATGTGGTTCCCTCTGCTCTGGCTCGTATCCTTTACTCTGTCCTGTTCGCTTCTCAGTCATCCTCGATCTGACGTTTTTTCATCCAGATGTCTCCACACTCCTTCTTTGAAAGTGACTTTTGTCTGGTCGCCTGCCTTGGCTTAGGGAATCACCCATATATGCCTACCCTTCTTTCAGACCCCCTCCTTTTTTGGGTCTTTTCCTTGTCTAGACCCCTTCTTCTTGTGCTCTGTTGGTTTTTCCGGATTGGCTGGCTCTGACATGGAGCAACAAACCCTGCCCCTTTCTCGGTCCTCCATGATCTGTCGTTTTTCATCTCGGTGTCACCATACTCTATCTATCTGTGTGTCTTTTGTCCAGTCCTGTGCCTCAGCTTGAGGACTCACCCCTTGTGTTGCATCTTTCATTGCTTACATCTTTCGTCCTTCCTCTTTGTCTTCTATTTTTTCTCTCTCGCTTATATCATTGCTTATACATAATTTTTCAGGATTCCATCATTCATGGAGTTCATGAATAAAGCAGATAGGGATGTTGCTCATCTTTACTGACCCATGATTCTTGCAATCCAGATCTTTCTGCTTTTCAAAATAGGGAAATGGAGAAACCCATTGCACTGTCTCTGGTAGATTGTTCCTCTGGTCTCCCAATGCATCTCCCCCCCCCCTCCTCTCTCTCTTTCTTCTAGTGGAGCACTGGGGTCCTTGCCATTTCCAGTTTCCAGTCGCTGGAGTGGTGAACCATGGAGGTTTCCTCATGAGTGGGTTTTGTACAATAACAAAATCTTGTAGCCATATGTACTCACTTGATGAGATGAGGGCTATCGTTATTATGTTGCATATTCTGCACACAGTATGGCATGAAATCTATTATGCATGGCACTTCCATTGGATGTTTTGCCCGGACGGACTGCACTTGTCGATTTTACAAACTTATGCAAGCTGCTTCCATGTTGTTTTTGTCCTTGGACTGCACTTGGCATAATGTGTTGTATCCCAATCTGCTTCCCTTGGATGTTTTCTGCCCAGGTGGACTGCACTTGGCCTATTCATATACGGTCCCCTAGCCACATATTCTATTCATTTCTGTCCTACGTGTCTTATCTTATTTACTGAGTGAAGAGCTTTACCAATTCCAGAAGTAGTGCTATACCCCACATATGTGCCTCACATTTTAATTGTGGCACACCTGCTTTTTTTATAGCAATACCTCTCTGCTTGATTATTTGTTTGGCACCTTCTTCACCTTCCTAATATGGGATTCTACCTGTGGGGAAGTGGAGGTAGTACTGTTTTGGAAGTTAACATTGATTGGGTATGTAGACTGGTGTACCGAGCTTGTATAGTTTTTAGCCATGCTTAGAGGGCAGAAAGAAGACCAAGATAGCTTTGTGTGAGAGTTAACTACCTATCAGAAATACATTTTCATTTAACTTTAATTAAAATCTGTCAAAGAAATAAGGGGTGAAGAGCAGTTAAAAAAACACTTCCTAAAGCGACATTAACAGTAATAGTAAAATTGCAACTGAAGAAGACTGGTTGAAACTGACATTTTTCTTAAAGGAACTACTGATTGAAATTATCAACCATTAGTTAAATGATAAAAATAGTTGCCCATTTATATAAATCTTGATTTTTCAGTTTTATATGCTTCTTTATTTTTGTTCTGCAAATTATACGTTTTATTAACCAATTTTCTTTGTTTATGAACTTAGCTTATTCACACTTCTTAATAAACAAGTGTAGGGTATATGTGCATTATTACACTTATTCTTTCCTGAATTTTCTTGTATATTTTAGGAGAGACAAAGTATTGTTAAAATCTAATGTTGCATGTGTGAGAGATAAATAATTCATTCATCCCATTTGATACATATTACTTTTTAACAATGTCTCCAAACTTTCAATATATTCATTGGGTGGAATTCTAACTATAAGAAACATATGAACAATAGACAAGATAAGATTTACATGGTCAACATTTTTTTTATACATGAAGGACAGGTGTTTTACAATAAACAAATTCTATTATCTGATTACTATGAACTAACTTATTGTCCTGACTTTTGTTCTGGAATCTTATGTGGCTTAATTAACATTTACAAAACTGGTATTTTCAACATCTTATGCTCTTTGCAATTTGCTCCATTCCTGAAAGCCCGGTGAATTTTCTGTCCTGTTCTTAAACTCCTTATTTCTGACAAATATATTGTTCATGATTAATTCAATTTTGTTTGAGAAATTAATGCTTTTTTCATCACTCATTCAGTATGGCATGACTTATTTCTACATCACCAACATTCTTATTTATGAAATTATTGCTATTGTTTCTTCCAGATTTATAATAACAGTTTGTACACCATTGAAGCTTAATCTGCGAAACTCTTATTAAGCTCCTACTTAAACTCATTGTAACACAAACTCTTTAACATTACTCTAATCAACCTTTGAGCTGATCCTAACTAGTGTACAAGATATCAAAATGAAATCTGCAGCATTTGTGTTGTTAATGTTATAATCTTAAACACACTTTCCATGTCTGATCCTCTACCCCATTCTTTATTTACTACTGTTGTGCAGAATCCTCACACCGACAAATTCAACAGTGTGATATTTCTCTACATACAGGTTCTGTACCCCGGCAAAACAGTGTCCAATGATGGATTCTCAATGGGAAGATCCAGCTGGTGTACCAATTTCAGCCATTATCTTTGGAGGAAGACGACCTAAAGGTTTATTGTTTTTAAAGCTGTTATTACTTTTAGCCCCTTTAATCATTAAAAATCTTATTATGCTAACCCTAAAGTGCAAATGAAGTTTTAGTAACTTTTCCACAAAATACTAGACACACAAAACTATGTAAAATAACTATGATATATAAACTTCTATCATGCAAAAAATCTACTAAACAGATATTTCTCAGTTACTGTCTTCATTTTGTCAATTGCATTAACTGAATATCAAACCAAAACAAATTGAAACATCAGTAATGAATTTTCCTTCTTCTTTCTATTAATCCCTTGAAAACTTGTAGAGAAAGGAGAAACCTATTTTACTCATCAAAATGGTTGCAGGAAATCAGCAAAGTTCTACCACTTCTTTCCTAAGGCTAAAATAATTGTTTTTATGCAAGAGATTCTAAATTTAAGTGAGAAATGTTGGAAATATGAGCAAAGTTTTAAAATCATATATTAAAAATGTTTAACTCATTGACTGCTGATTTTCCATATAGGGTACGATCTGCCTTCGGCAGTTGAATGCGAGTGTGCTGTATGTAGTGTATGGCTCGCAACAATTCTGTGCACGTTTAAAGTAGCAGCAATTAAAGGGTTAATTAATAAGAAAGTATGTTTTTTAAACAAAGTGTTTAATTTTTAATTTCTAAATCAAACAAAATAACCTGAAATGACAGAAAATTCATACTTTCTGTTGCTCGGTATGAATAACACATTAAACAAGAACAAATATTCAGGGTTCTCACTATGGTCTGTCAGTAAAGGGTCCCATATGTAGAATTTAATAATCTAAAAAAATATATATATAAAAAATCACTTCAGTGAAAAACTTTTATTTACAGTGTACACTACATGTTTACCTTCTGTAAGTGGAAAAGAGCATGTTAATGTTCAATGAAAAACTTGCACTTTACACAGCACGTTGTTTCCCTTTATGAGTGAAAAGTAATTTTCGTGATAAGATTAAAGATACTTTTCTTTATTTATATAAGTATTACTTGCATAACCCCTAAAACCCCATATATAAATAACAAATATTTTTCATAAAAACTTTCTATTTTATCTGATTTTTTGCCTTTTTTCTTTTACCCTTATGCTATATGAGGTCAGCTGATTTGATCGACCTCATAACCACCATAAAAAATTAGGAAATTACCCCTATTTTCTTTCTTGAATGACTGCAAATTGTAACAGAAAACCTGGTATATAAATCCAGGTGGTTAGGGTGCATGACTTGCAATCTGAGGATCGCAGATGTGAATCCCTGTCTCACCAAACATGCTCACCCTTGGGGGCATTATAATGTGACAGTCAATTCATTGGTAAAAGTGTAGCCCAAGAGTTGGCAGTGGATGATGATGACTAGTGCCCTTCCCTCTAGTCTTTCACTGCTAAATTAGGGATGGCTAGCAAAATAGCCCTTGTGTAGCTTTGCACAAAATTGAAAACAAACAAACAAAGCCATATAAATTGCAAATCACATGACGAATGTGTAGGTTACATTATAGTATCAAATTATATTTTATAATATAATTATATTTTTATATTTTAGTTAGTTACTTTTATAATAATAAATAAAGAATACACACCAAAAATAAGAAATAAAGTACTTATCTGGTCCTTTTTTTTTTTTTTTTTGTTCTCTCGACTGTCAATGAAACTTAACTTTTCTTACACTAATTGTAGTACTGCTTACATAATTTATATTTAATTAAATAATGCGCCAAAGAACACAGAATAATAACATACAGAAAGGAAACAGTGTTCCATAACTATCACATTTTCTGGCTTTCTAACTATGCAACAAAAGTTTCGTATTTGAGATTGTGTTAAGCTTAGGCAAAAGTCCAGCAGTAACTTTGTGGACTTAAAATACTAAAATCTGGTGTTTGATTCCCTACAGTGGACAGAGCATAGATAATTTATTGTGTAGCTTTGCATAAACCACAATAGCATAGATCGAAGATTTCTTATTTTATGTTTAATTAGATAGCTTCTGTAGCAATTAGAATATTTTATAATCTACTGTTTAGTTTTTAGCATGTTGTAAATACAGAAACATTCCAGTCAGCAATCTATAAAGTTTTCACATTCTCTGTAACTACCAACATTTGTGTTATATTTATTGTGAATTAGTAGTTTAAAGTAATAATTATAATCTAACTTGAGTAAATTAAAAATAATATTTTCTGGTTATCTGCAAGAATTGACTTTATACAAGTTATAAATGTACTTGCATAACCTTATTTATAACAGCTGCAATTTATTATTTTTTTAAGTGTTTACATATACTTTAGTGGATCTCCCATGCAATTAGATACTTTAATATTAATATTTTTTACTATGCAATATATTTTTAGTCTTAGTTTTTATAGTTGTAGAAATTTGGGTAAATTACAATATGTGAAATTTAATATGACATTAATTTTTTTATGAAATCAATAACACTAGTTTCTAATTATTGTATTTTTAAGTATTTTTTTTACAAATCCTAACAATTATGTTCAGTCTTTTTTTTTATTGTTATACTAGCGAAAGTACCCGGCTTTGCTCAGGTTATTAGGTTGATATACCTAGATGTGTATGTCATTGTGTGTATTCTGAACCCATTTTAACATAAAAGTATAACAAATATACTTTTGTTGCTAAGTAACATGACATAAAAGTCATTTTTGAAAGGCATTGTTACCAAATTCACTGGCTTTTCATTGTATTAAAAGTTGTTATATATGGAAGCACTTCTTTCCTATGTGGGCCTGGTATGGCCAGGTGGTTAGGGTGCTCGACTTGCAATATGAGGGTCGCGGGTTCAAATCCCCATCACACTAGACATGCTTGCCATTTCAGCCATAGGGGCATTATAATTGACAGTCAATCCCACTATTCGTTGGTAAAAGAGTAGCCCAAGAGTTGGTGTTGGGTGGTGATGACTAGCTGCCTTCCCTCTAGTCATACACTGCTAAATTAGGAACAGTTAGCGCAGATAGCCCTCCTGTAGCTTTGCACGAAATTCAAAACAAACAAACAAAATGAACAATTTTTCCTATGTGGTTTTTCACAACCTTGCTTCATTAAAAAGAATTTGCCAATGTTTGACTGCCTTGACTGCACTTTTCTGCCTCTTTGTTGGTAAAGCTTGATTTTGCAAAATTTATTTATTTCAGTTAGCTATCAAATATGAGGTTAGGGTATACTATGGAATGGGGTTGGTAGTACTTGCCTAGTCATTTTTGATGGGCTATACGCTAGTCCCATAATAGTTAAAATTACCCTATAACATTCCATAATAGTTAAAAAAACACTATAACATCCCATGATAGTTAAGATTACCCTATAATATCCTATGATAATTACAAACTACAGATTAACAACCCATAATGGTTTTGTTGCTATGCGACAATGCATATTGTTGATCATTACCAGAAAAGGAGTGTGAAAGCATTCATCACAATATAACATCCCATTTTCTGCCTTTTTGTTGGTCAAGCTTGATTTTGCAAAATTTATTTTTTTTAGGTAGCTATGAAATGTGAGGTTAGGGTATACTATGCGGTGTGGGTGAAAGTATTTGCCACATCATTTTTGATGGACTATATGCTAATAATAGTTAAAAACCACTATAATATCCCATAATAGTTCAAAAACCACTCAGTAACATTCCATAATAGTTAAACAACTACTCTATAACAGCCCATAATAGCTAAAATATTCTATAACATCCCATAATAGTTAAAACACACTAACATTCCATGGCAGTCACATATCTCTTCTTTGTGGTTTTTCACATAAAAAGATATGCATGCGTGCACTCACATAGATAAGTAATAACACCCAGGGGCATACCCTCAGAGTCCACTTAGTATGGTTGCAAAATTTCAGGTTTCTAAGTTCTTGGAGCTATGGCAGTCACATATTCTTTTCTATGCATTTTTTCACTAGCTTGCCTCGTTAAAAAGATGTGAACGCAAGCATGCACATGGATAAGTAATAATACCCAGGTGCACACCCCCAGGGTTCACTTAGTATGTGTGCAAAATTTCACGTTTCTAAATTCTTTCTTCTTGGAGTTAGGGTGATCACACACAGACATGCCATTTTTTTTATTATAGATTAGTTACTTTTTTTTTTATCCTAAGAAACTGTAGAAATGTTAATTCTTCACTTGTATACTAAAAAGCCTTTCATTAATTCACCTGCTTTCTTGCTTTCCATTTCACATATGGTTTTTCACTTCACTTTATGGTTTTATTTGACATGTTTCAATAATTTTTTAAATAGTGGTGATTTCTAAATATTTATTTTTTAGGTGTTCCTCTGGTGTATGAGTCTCTAAGCTGGCAACATGGTGTGTTTGTTGGAGCATCCATGAGGTCAGAAGCAACTGCTGCTGCAGAACACAAAGGTGTTGTATTATTTAGATACTCTGTTAAAAAGGAAAGTTGCAACAATCTGAATTTTAGTAAGATTTACAGAGGGATTGAGTTTATTAAAGATGTATACACTGACATTTATTTCACAGGTCATGTACATATTGTGTTACAATATTCTAGTCTTTAACCAGTTCTGTAACAGAGGTGTGTCACTAATATCTTTTGATTTTTTTGTCCATCTCATAGTGGAAATATTTAACCAACTTGTATGAAACCTAGTACAAATTTGCTAAATAGCATCTAGTTTTGGCTTTAAAAAATTCATATACTTTGATGTGCTATTTTTGTAATTTTTCAATTGTCAATTTTCCAAAATTCTTCTCGGAGAGACAGTTTTGAAGGAACATTAAAAATGCTTCCTTTCTCTTTGAATTTTTGATCAGAAAATTCCATTTAATTTCAGTTTGATTGATTTTCATTAACATACTTTTTTTGATACTTTATTTTGCTGATTGCAGTAGTGACCACTTCCAGCTATAAATTGTAAAAAACACAGCAAAAATAAGAAACATTTATTGATGACCTAGGGCCTGGTCTTTCAAAATGGGTGTCATCATTACCTTTGTCAAGCTAGGTATCGTGCTTTTTGCAAATAGTATTCTTGGTCAAGATTACTTTATATCTAGTAAATATAATTCATTTTCAATAAATAACAAGTTCTGTAATTTGTGTGTATAATTTTAATATGATAAACTTAAAAATAATATTCATTAAGTAAGGATTTTACCATCACTTACTATAACTCGGTAAACTTAACTAAGCTTACAAGATGTCGTAGAAGATAATTTCTGTAGCTTTCAGGTATAATTTGACATGAAAACATTTTTATTTGTGTAAATAGTGTAGAATCTACTTTATTGAATTATACTTAGAACTATAAACATTGTATATAGCTATTTTCAAAGCTACACTTCATTAGTATTTATACAGACCCCATACTGTGATGTGAAAAGGTGGGAATGAAGGACTGTAGTAACTAAGCTAATGACAAGGAAGGACTATCACATGAGAAACAAGACAGATAATTATACTCTCAAGGGATGATAGTTTTCTAGTAAATATAAACTTATACTTTTGGATAGAAGAAATATTATGAAAAAATCTTAGTACATTATTTACAGGTGAGAATTCTGGGAGCTGTGAAGAAATGAAAGTTGGACTTTTTTTTTAACTTGTTTGCAAGCTATATTAAATAAATGTTTCAAAATAAATATAGATTTCAAAATGTTTTTGAGTTAAAAATCATTGAAATAGAATTATTTTCATTTTTAAGTTTTGAAATATATATGTAGGTGTGCACTCACTGCCTAAATGGTGATAACAGGTTGTGGTAGAGTTTAATTAATTAATATTGTTCATTTAGGTAGTTTTTTAAACCAGTTATTCTTGTTTATATATTTGTATTAAAGTTATTATCTAGTCCATTTATTTTTCTGGTATTCTTGCTCCTCTATCAAGTCCTTTAAATCTAACCGTTACTTATATCACAGATATCAGCCTTTAAGGTGTATTGCTCCTTACCCATGCTTTAATTTCTTTAACCATGGTGTTCTTGTCCTTATTGTTTTTTGATATTTAGTCTATAAAATGTGCGTTATCTGTTATATTTAATTTTGACTTTGTACTCTTATACCTATATTAATTTCTAAACCTGGTTCTTCTTTCTTTGTATTAATTACTTTAAATGTACTGTTTCTATCTCTATTTAATAATATAATGAAGTATTTCCCTCTATTTAATTGGTAAATCTGTAGTTTATTTGCACCTTTATTTCAAAATTATTAAAGGTTTGAACTTGTAAGTTTTGAGAAAAGTGAGAAATGAATAGAGAGAGAATATATTGAAACTGTTTGTAGAAGTAAATTAAAAACATTCTTATTCAATAAATATATAATGGCTATTCCAAAGGATAGTGGTAAGAAATTCAAAAATACATATTTTTTACAATTAATGAAAGTTTTCTAATAATTGAATATTTTAAAACATAAGTAAAATCACTTACATTTTTATAAATCCTTATCAGTGTTCTCTATGTGTGACCCCTGTTGTTATAATGCTACAATGAGTAAAATTTCAAATTGTGTTGCGCAGAAAGATTTTGAGCTTTCCATAACATTCATTACTTTTTTTCCAGTTCTGATTAAGATTTTATCAGATGTTCAAGCTCAATGTAGAGAAAATCTCACTAAATTATTCATAGTAATAGGTCATTAGCATTTCTAAAAGCCTGATGTGGCCTGATAGTTAGGGCACTTGACTTGCAATCTGCTGGTTGTGGGATTGAAACCCCTTCCTGAACAAGCTCACAAGCCATTGGATTATTAATATGTGACAATAAATTCCACTGTTCACTTGTAAAGAGTAGCCCAAGAGTTGGCAGTGTGTGGTGCTACCTTCACACCAGTATATCAGTTCAAAATTAGGGATAGCTTGCACAGGTAGCCCTTGAATAGCTTTCAAGAAATTCAACTCAAAAACAAAGTATTTTTGTGCAGTTGTTTTTAATCTGGAAAAAATGAAGTATATGTAGGTTTATAGAGTTCAGATAAAATTTAGTTAAATTGTTTCTTGAGTTTACAATTGTAAAAGTGATCTAGTGTTGATGTTAAATATTTTATTGAAGTTACCTATGTGTGTTAGAAGTTGAATGGTTGCTTAAACTTAGGAATGAATGTATGTTGTTATACTTTCCTTTATATTTTCTCTTAAGAAGTATTTAAGCTGTTTAGAACAAATTATATCTTGTTAATGTTTTGTGCATTTCCTACCAAATGTGTATTTATTTTGTAGTTATTGACTTTCAAGAATCATTGACACAAAAATTTAGTTTGTGTGTGTGTGTTTATGTAGGTGTATGTATATATATATCTGTGTGTGTTTATATGAGTATACATATGTTTATGTGTGTGTGTGTGTTTATATGTGGATACATATGTTTTTGTGTGTGTAATTTAGCTAGTGTTTTATTATTATTTTTTTTTTGTTGATATATCAGGAGTAATCTCGTAACAAATATTCCTTTTTCAGTTATTCTTTTACATCACACCTAAAGCTACATGTTATTGTGCTTTATTTTGGTCAAAGATGTTAATATTTTTTAATGAATTTACATAATTAGTTATTAAAGGAAATTGTATATTAGTGAATTCTTTATATGAATTAACCACTGATAGTAATAAGTACTTTTTTTTCCACAATAGCTAAAGTCATCATGCATGACCCATTTGCAATGCGTCCCTTTTTTGGGTACAACTTTGGGCACTACATTGAACACTGGTTGAGTTTTGCTAAAAAACCTGGATTGAAACTCCCCAAGATATTTCATGTGAACTGGTTCAGAAAGGATGATGATGGGAAAATCATTTGGCCCGGCTTTGGTGAGAACTGTAGGGTCCTGGATTGGATTTGTCGACGAGTAGATGGTCAAGATGTGGGACAGGTAATGTGATTACAAAATAAAGAAGAGGGAATACCAGACATCATATGGAAATGAATATGCAGATAATTTCATGAAAACACTTTATAAAAGTTGAAGTGATCAAACAAAAGATTATACAAAAGCATACAAAGTAGTTGAATCTCAGCTTAACAGTGTATAGTTTGCAGACTTTAGAAGTCTGTTTAAATGAATCTGTATATAAATATTATGCACATTATTTACTTCACCCCTTTTTCACATGGTTGTGTTACATTTTTCAAGGGCTGAGTGCTGTGGCCCTGTGGTTATCATGCCTGACTATCAATCTGTAGGTCCATTGTTTGCATCCCATCATTGCAAAGACAGAAATCTGTATTTACTCTTCGGAGCTGTGGGTGCATTATAACTGTTATGGTCATATCCCACTATTTGATCTGACAAGAGCAACTCAATTTGTTGATACCTTCTGTTAACCCTTTCGAGATGGGTTACAGGTGAAAGGCCATGTCATCTCATTTGTTGACTCGCATTCAAAATTTTATTGAACTACTATTTCATGAATTTATGTCAGTAAGTTTGGTATCAAACTGTAGATTATAATTCAAAATTTAGAACTATACATTATTCAATTTGTTAATTTAAAAGTAAATATTAAAAAATACAGATAAACATCAATTTTTTGTGTCAGATGGTATGTTGAATGCAGCACTGGTTCAAATTAGATGTTTGTGAAGTCAAAATACTAAGTCTATAGTGTCATACAAATTAGAAACTCAAATTACATATATTTACAAGCTAGAATATAAAATAAGAAGGTCTTATCTTTTCTATTTGCTAAGATATTGCTCATGTAATAAATCAAACACAGTGGCACCCGCTCACCTCTTTCCATTTTAGGAAACTCTACCTTATATACACTTCTATATATGATGTGAATAACCAATCAAAAGCTCAGAATGTCATCCTAATGGTTCTCTCAGCATTTCTAATGTCCCTTATGCCACTTCTTTCTTTTGAACCAAGATTTCAATGAGGTAGGTTGTGTCCTTAGTCTGCTTGAAGTTTATATTTTTTTTAGACCCAAATATTGCTTAGTTACTAAGTTTGATAAATTACAGTAGAATTCTGTGGTATTGATGTAGTAATTTATGATTTTTTTAGTTATTCAAAAGTATATATATAAAACCTAAAAATAAATATTTTCTTTCAAATCCTCTACGTGCAAAATTTTTAAAGGCTTAGCAACCTATGTCAAGCAGCAACCAAGTACAAAGGTCATAACTAGAAGAGATAATTGTTTGCTTTACTTCTTTATTTACTGTTCTATGTTTTAGGAAAAATAAGAAATTATTTCAAAATAGCAATAATCTAGATATACATATAATGTATAATAATTGAAGTGTGAATACACAGCCAAGACAAATTATTTTGTACAGACCATAGGTCACTTTTATGTTATTTGACATGGTAACATGAGTGCACGTGAGCCATGTCATTGTAACTTCTGTATTGTTAGCCAGACATAGGTGAAAGGTCAATATAATAAATATATATAAATGTATAACGTTATGAGATTTAAGCTATTTTGTCTAAACATTTATGTTTTTGTGTTATAATTTGTGTTCATTCTAGAATGAAAGAAGCATAATTTATGTTTATTTCCTAATTTTTTATGGTGGTTGCAAGATCAGTCAAATTTACTGAACCTGTACAGAGATTAATTACTGAAAATAACAGATAAAATATAAAGTTTTTTTTGATAACCATCCAGACATTATTAAAATTTTGCTTGTGAAATTTCAAAATTTTCTGATGTATAAAAGTATTTTT